CACCCCACCCCAGCACCAAAAAGAATCCCCAGGATCCCATCCTGTCACAAACTCCAGGAGCTTCCATCCTCAAACTCTTGCAGGACCTGATACCCATCAATTCTTCCTCGATCCTAGAAACATGGCTCCCAATCCCCAGTGCCACACGCTGGGTTAGCACCGTCCCCAAGCCTCCCCGGCTCCAAACCCTGGGATCACCGTTTCCACGACCCTACCCACCCCCCACAAAATTCTTCGGACTCTTCTCGACTCCAGAAACCACGGTTTCCGGTCTCCAAGACCTGTGCTCCGGAATCCGCTACACCCCCGACCTTCTCCGAAATCCAGTCACCCACGTCCAGTATCTCCCCTCTGCCGAATGCCAAGATCTACTCTCCCGTCAGCCCCAGGCCCTAATCCCTAGATCCTCCTCAGCGACGGGTGGCCGAATCCCCCCATCTCTAGACCGTCTCCCCGGCCTCAGGCGCCGAAGTCTCGCGTCCCACAGCCCTTCCTTGGCCCGGACTCCGGGTTTCCCGGCCCCTGCCCCGCGCACTCTCACAATGTCCGTCCGGCCCCGAGTAGCCGCCGGGCTTCGGGTGCGGCTGCAGCCCGGGCGGCGGTGGTTGCGCGGTCCCCTCCAGCTTGGAGCCCCCCTCGGTCTCGACCTCCTCGTTGTGTCCGGGTCGCCCCGGTTCGTCGTCGGCCTCGAGCTCCCGCTCGTCGTCGGGCTCCTCGGCCTCCAGCGCCGCCTGCAGCCGCTCAGCTAGGTCGGCCTTGAGGCCGCGAGTGTCCAGGCCGCGGCGCTGCAGCTCCTCGCGAAGTTCGTTCACCTTCAGACGGCGCACATCCATGGCCCGGGCCCCCGGGGCGGCCCCCGAGCCCGGCCCGGCCTCCCGGGGCTCTGTCCCCCTTAAACCTTTCCTGTCAGGAGGCAAAGGGGGAAAGGGGGGGGCCCACTCCAATGGCGGCGGCGGCTCAAAATGGCCGCCACCTCCTCCTTACCCGTAGCTCCGTGCGATGCAACACAGGTGCTAATTGGCCACCATACTGGGACAACGGGCGCGGGCCTGGAGATGTAGCCAATCAGAGCCTGGCTTTCAAAAGAACGGCAAGGAAAGGGGCCAGGAGCTGCCGGGGAGGAAGCGTTGGCCTACGTCTAGGCCGCGACTGAAGCAGAGGGCGGGAAAAGGCGGGAGGCGGAGCGCACGGTGATTGGGTAGCCCTCGCGCGCCAGCTCCCGTAGGGTCAAATGATGGAAAGGGAGTAAAGACTTAGACCAATCAGCGGTGACATGTCAGAATGAGCGTCCCACGGCCTTTCCTGTGTAGTCCTTTCATTAAACGAATGTCTCTGTAAAATACATTCTGATTGGTGTAAATCTCCCGCCCCTTGAGGAGACGAAGCGGATAAAACCACTAGAACCAATCAAACGGGGGATTTAGCAGATGCCTTCCTCTATTGCCTTTAAGGAACCGGAACGAGATTAAATAATGAAGGTCCCGCCCCTTGCCGTTAGGGCGGTTTCAAAACAATCTGTCCACCAATAGCAGTTACTGTTTTACTTCACTAAAACCTGTAATGTATAAATGGAGCGCTTCAGGAACATCTAACCAGATTGGCTGCGCTCTTCAGAGGACGCCTGCAAGAGTCTCGCTGTAGAGGGAGGCACATACAAAAAAGATTAAGTAGATAAATTATTTCTTAATTTGGAATAAACTCAGTTGCCTCTATAAAAAAACAACATTTTGACTTCAGAGAGTCCTGAAGGTTTGAAAGGACAGGCTAGACTAACGGGATGTAAAAGAAATTGCTCTCCCCTCTCCTTTGATAGTACATCTCACAGGGTGCCTCTTTCCTACACAGCGTCAAGGCCCTCTTCTCTATGGTTGGTACCTTACGTGGAATGGGCGCTCTGCACGCGACCATAGAGCCTCTCTCCCTCCGGAAAGACCTCCAGCAATTCTCGTCTCTTTTATCCCAAAGCCTATGAACTCTTGATCAGTAAATCTGGCTGTTCGGCGATTATACTGACAAGCTCAAACACATAGATCCATAATTAAGCCTCACATTAGTAAACAAACGCTACAGAGTTTCACAATGTCTACTCCGCTGCACCACCTGTCGCCTCTGTCTCAAAATTGACACAAAACGTCAATAAGATACACGATCGAGATACACAATGCAACCGCCCAGTCTCCACTGAAGCACGCAAAAGCAGCACACAACCTCAATTTGGACAAAGACGTCAAATAGAAGTGAGTTACAGTATCGTATGCATTACTTCAGGGAAGAATACACCAAACTGCAGTGCCTATGTGCCCAGTTAACGTCTGCACAGGCAGGCGGCATCAAACGGTAAAGACATATATGGCAGTTACACTACAAACTTTCAGCAACCTAGACACAGCACCCACTCAGAAGCGGGACAGACACTCACGTGGGCCCGGTGGTTCCAGTCCAGACACCCCGCCCCTCGCCCACGTTCGACTTCCTCTCTCCTCCCAGCTTTCCACAATGATGTGTTCTAAAAGTTTGTGGCCCGGATTGAACTGTTCCCGGTTCTCAGGAGCCGCCACTGGGGGGCATCCGGGCGCTGCCAACAATTCCATCAACTGTAGGGCACACCCAGGAACAAGTGCCGGAGAATGTGTTGCAAGACACAGTGGGCTTGTCTTGGCAGGAGTCCCTATTTGGACTCATGGTTATGGAAGGCGCTCCGTGCCTAATTTTCTTTGTGAGTCTGAACATTTGGGTCTGTGAGTTCGTGTTGTACTCAATGTGTCTGAGTCTTTGTGCTACTGATGTGTATCTGTTAAATTTTTCCTTATCCCTGCCGAGTAGCTGCCTGAGCATATGCTTGTAAATATGTTTGTACCTGTGTTAATTTTGTGTCTGTTATCCTGTGTGCCTCTGGATTTCAGTGTATTTGTGACCAAGTGTGCCTCACTATGTCCATTAATGCATTCGTCTGTTACACTGGCAGTGTCTGTGTGACCCTGAGTTTATGCACCTGTACCTCACTGGGAATTTCAGAGAGTCTGTGTTTCTGTGTCTTTTTGTCTATGCGTATGTTCATATCAGCCCCCTTAGTAGCTCCTTAGTGAGGGGAGACCTCTGGGACCCCACCTGCCCCTTCTTTTTATTGATAAGGAAACTGAATTGGCAGGGAGAGGGTCCACATCACAGCTGAATGGAGACGAGGAGGCGGAAGCGTGGTTACAAAGTTTTATGTGACCTGAACTCTGGAGGCACCCGAGTCCACACTACGGTGGGGATGAGGGACTGGCTCAGGGGGGCAGCATGGCCCAAAAGGGGGGAGATCGTCCCCTGGGGAACAAGAGGCATCCCTAATGCATTGCACAGGCTTGAGGGTGGCACACCCCCACACGAGGGGAGGAGGGAACAGAAATGGTGAACAAAGGGAGGGCACCCAGAAGAAAAAGATTAGAACTTTGGAATTGTACTAATATTCTAGATGTGTGTACCTTTAGGATCTTAGAAACTTATAACATTTGTGTCTTAGAACTGATGTGCCTAAAGCAAAAAACCAAACTCACTGCCACCAAGTCGATTTCAACTCATAGCTACCACCTTTGGGTTTCCGAGGCAGTAAATCTTTACAGAAGTATATATTGACCAGTCTTCATTCTGCAGAGTGGCTGGTGGGTTTGAACCCACCAACCTTCTGGTTAGCAGTCAAATGCCTTAGGCACTATGCTACCAGAGTTCTTCAGAATCTTAAAATTTTAAAAATGAAATAATGTAAAACTATTATAGTATCCAATGTGGGCTTGACTTAAAAAAAAAAAAAAAAAAAAACCTCACTGCCATCGAATCGATTCTGACTCATAGAAACCCGCTTTGGGTTTCTGAGGTGGCAAATCTTTATGTAAGTAGACTGCTCCATCTCCTTCTGCAGAGCAGCTGGTAGGTTTGAACTGATAACCCTCTCGTTAGCCATCAAATGCCTTAGACCCCGTACCACCAGAGCTCCTCGGCGTTGACTTCTTGTTGTTGTTGTTATGTGCCGTCGAGTGGGACCCAACTCATAGCAACCCCTCCTTGGGTTTCCGAGGCGGTATCACCACAGAAGTAGATTGCCCAACCTTCCTTCCAAGGGGTGGCTGGTGGGTTTGAAGCACCAGCCTTCTGGTTAGCAGCCAAGTGCCTTAGGCACTATGCTACCAGAGCTCCCTGGCCTTGACTTAGGGAATAATACCAATTAAAAAATTAGAAATATAGCTTCTTGCACCCTTAAGAACTAAAATCCTTAAAAGATAAAATGTAGCATGGAACCTAGATGTGTCCAACACCAGAAATGATTAGAATTTTGGTCCTAGAATCTTAGAAATGTACAACTGTGACAGTCTTAGAAAATTTGGATGCTTAGAATCCAGGATTTTACAACAGTAGAATCTAGAGTACCTTGGGATACAACAGAGTCTTAGAATTTAATAATCTAGAATCTTGAAACTTATGATCTAGAACCTTAGACACAGAATCTAGGATCTAAGAACATCACATCTTAGCATATTAGCTCTGAGAACCTCCTTGTTTAGACTCTTAGAACTTTTGAACTGCAGATTCTAGAATCCTAGACACTTAGGATCCAGAATCTCATAACAAGAGAATCCAGGATCATAAAGCCTTAGAACCTAGAATTGATAACCATTAGAATATTAGAAATGGAGAGGAGAATATCCTGAAGCCTTTGGTCTAGAGTCTTGCACCCAGAAGATCTAGACTCTAAGAGCCTCAGAACATCAAGTCTTAGAATATTAGGCCTTAGAACCTCCATGTCTAGGATTGTAGAATCTTTAGGATTATATACCCTAAGAACCCAGAATTCTAGAAAAATAAAATTTAAACCACAACTTTAGATCTTAGAACTAGAGTCTCAGAACTTTAGAACCTAGAATCTTGGGGCCTTATCAAGAATCTTAAAACCAGAAAATCTAGAGCCATAGAATGTCAGAGCCTTAGAATATTAGACTTTCAGATCTCAACATCTAGAACTTTACAATTGGAGTCTGGAATTTCACGTCCTTAGAACTGAAGAGTCATAGCATCTTTGAAATCTAGAACCTTTGAATCTAGACTCTGGATCTTAGAATCTAGAATCTTGGAATGCCAGACCTTGGAGGACCCTTAGGGACTGCAGTCCAACTACGTCCTTCTACAGATGGGGATGCCAAAACCCAGAGAAGGAGGAGGATGTGTCTGGGATGGAGGTGAAGTGGGAGGGAAAAGGACTTCTGTTGGAGGAAAGGCCTGGGATGGGAAAGTGGCAGGGGGAGCGGGTCCCCCAGTGGCAGTGCCTAGCTTGGGTCCTGAGAGGGAGTCCCAGGTGAAGGGTTGTCTCAGGCTCCATCCTCCTGCCCTGGGAGTGCTGGGGAGCCCCTGTCGGCAGGCAGAGTGGAGCCGGGGGCCGTGGAAGGGCAGAGGACATAACGTCCAGCGGGATGGACTTCAACCGCAGTGAGACAGCTGCAGGAATCCTTAGGGTCAGGCTGGGTCGGGGGGTCAGCGCCTCCAGCAGCTCCGGGGGGTTCAGGATGACCCCCACCCTCATCCATGTTGACGTAGAGGATTTCATCCGGCTCCTGGGCAGGAGGCAAGGCCTTCAGCGTGTTCTCCAGGTTCTCTCGAAGTTCTGCAAAACTTGGCCGATCCTGGGGATTCAGCTCCCAGCAACGGGACATCAGGGCATACCTAGGGCAACAAAGTGAGGGCTGGAAGACGGCAGGGGTTTGGAGGGGGCACATTCTAGGACTCTGGGGGCATCTTAGCACGCTCAGGAGACTAGGAGGCATTCTGGGGGTTTGAGAGAGACCCTCAGCAGTTTGGGGGAAGCTATGGGCATTTGAGAATTCTTGAGAGTTTCTGACGGGGTCCTGGGAGACTGAGTTGCTGGGAAGGGTCTTGGGGGACTTTTTCAGGTATAGAGCAGTGTTCTAGTGGGGGTTTGCCAAAAGAGAGCTTCCCAATATGGTTGTCCAGAAGATGCTCTGGCATTAAAGCCTGGCTCTGTCACTTGCAAGCTGTGTTATCTTAAAGTATGTGTGCACCAGCTCTGGGCTAGAGGGCCCAACACGTCTTGGGCATCCCCAGGGCCCCAGTGCCATCCAGGTCCTTGGTAGCATCCTGACTAGACAGCACTGGGGGGACCCGCTATGTCAAGGCTGTGACAGGGCCATGAGGAGCGAGGAAGGGGGTGTGCCCAGGGGGTAGGGAGGGCTTACAGCCATCTTATGAGGATGGGGAGGGACAGCGCTATCCGCAGAGTGGGCACATCCTGGATTATGGGAGTGGGGGGTGTCACAGCCGTCATAGGAGGGGAAGGGCAGGGCAATGGGGGCATTTCCTGGAGTGTGTGTGTGGGGGGTGTCAAAAGGAGCCCTGGTGGTGCAGTGCCTAAGGCATTTGACTGCTAACCAGAAGGCTGGCAGTTCAAACCCACCAGCCACTCCTAGGAAGGAAGGTTGGGCAATCTATTTCTGTAGTGACAACACCTCAGAAACCCACAGAGGGGTTGCTATGAGTCAGATCTAACTCGATGGCAGTGTGTGGCATGGCGTTGCCTTGCAAATTCTTTGACACCCCTTCCTCCCTAAGATGGAGCCTAACTCTTCACCTGGAGTGTGGGCAGGGCTTACTGACTCTCTCCTAACAGATGGAATAAGGCGATGTGGCAGTGCGTGCGACTAATGAGACTAGGTGATAAAAAAAAAACACTGCGGCTTCCTCCTTGGCTCACTCATGGGGGAGCCAGCTGCCATGTTGTGAGGAAGCTCAAGCAGTGCTATGGAAAGATCCACACGGTGAGGAACTGGGGGCCTCTTGCCTCAGCCATGGCGTGAGCCACCTTGAAAATGGATCTTCCAGATCCAGCTTCAGGTGACTGCAGCCCCGGTGACACCTTGACTGAACCTCCTTAAGGACCCTGAGCTGGAGTCACCCTGCTAAGCTGTTCCCAGACTCCTGACCTTCAGAAACTTGAGGTGATAAATGCTTGTTGTTTCAAGCTGTTAAATTTGAGGTCCGGGTAACTTATACGTCAGCTGTGCAACCTTTACCAAGTGACTCACTTGCCAACACTGTGGGCTGCGTTTTCATCATCTGCAAAGTGGGACAATAATGGTACCTCCCTGCCTAGCTGCTAACTGAAAGAGCTGGTGGTTCATCCACCCAGAGGTGCCTCAGAAGAAAGACCTGGTAATCAACTTCTGAGAAACGAGCCACTGAAAACCCTGTGGAGCCCAGTTCTACTCTGATATTCATGGGGTCACCCTGAGTTGGAATCAACTCAATAGAAACTGGTTGCTGGGTTTTACCTACCTCCTGAGGGCGTGGTGAGGACCACATGAGTTAATACATATAAAGTGCCTAAAACAGTGTCTTCTGGTAAGTGTTAGAGAAGTGTTTGCTGTTATTCTCACTCTCCTCAGCTTTTGAAGTATCCGAGGGTCCTGGGAGGCTGAAACACGCATGTTCCTCCTGACCCAGGCAATGTCCTCTCTTTCCCCCAGAGTGCTGGATAGACGTTACGCTGTCCTCCACATGCCATGACATGGCAAAGGTTGACAAGTATTGCCCTAAAGGATCCTGAGACCATCTCAGAGGAGGCCTGGGAGTCTGGAGAAGGTCAACAGAGTGAGTTGGAGGGTTCCCAGAAGGCTCTGGGTGTGTGGGAGCATCTGGGGGAGCTGGGGGGTTCTGGGACGAGATAAAAGGCTCTGGGAGCAAGTCTCAGAGGCAGGGAAGGCTGTGGAGTTGTGCACAAGGTTACCTGGCTGAGACCAGCTGCCCCAGCCTGCATCCCACGCAAGCGGGCAAAGGAGATGAAACTTTTGTTAACTCACACCCCACAGTTCTGCTCAGAGCACTGGTGAGGGGTGAGTGATTACTCAAGTCTGAGGGACTGGTGCAGGTTTGAGAGGACCCCAGTTTGGAGGGAATTCTGGGATTTAGGAAAAAGTCCTCACAGGCCATCCAGACAGTCCACAGGCTGCTTCAGACGGTTTCCTTGGCGCAGGTAGTCGTAAATCTCACTGTTCTCCACACCTGGGTATGGGGTTTGGCCCCGCGTGGCAATCTCCCACATTGTCACTCCAAAGGACCACTGCGGGGGGGCAGAGCATAGGCGATTAGAGGGCCTCTCCTGGACAAAGTCACCCTCAACACACCCGTTCAGAGGTGCACCTGCACGTGTGTACACAGCTATCACAGTTCTTCATGGGAACACTTGGGCACAGGTACACACATGTAGGTAATTTTTGTGCACATAGGTGTTTTGCTCACATATGCACACACTGACACATCTCACAGACACGTGGCCTCAGGTGGTACCTTCCACACCCACTGTACACACTATATGAGCGCAGACACATGTCGGTGCTCGCCACTGCTTCTCCTATCCTGCCCACATGCAGGGCAGCAAGGAATCTGCCTTCACGCGCACATGGGTCTGTACATAGCTCCAGTGCGTACACATCACCGTTCACAGACGTCCACCATGTCCCCAGACATGTGTAGCTAACATAGACAAGCCATCGCCCCTGGGAGCCCACCCCTACCCGGGAGACCTGAGCGGGTAGCCACGGCTGAGTGGCAGCCACAGTTGCGCAGGCGCACTGTGAGCCGAGCCAGCCACGCCCCCACCCCCATGGATTATGCGCTCCCGGTAGAGGAACACGCACCACGTCGCTCTTGCTGGTGTAGACGCGGTCAGCCAGGCTCTCAATTGCGATCCATTTGACTGGCATCTTGGCGATGCGTCCCTGGCGGTAGTAGTCCCCATTGTAGATCTTCTTGGAGAGCCCAAAGTCCGCCACACACACGGACATGTTCTCGTTCAGCCTGTCCGGATGGAGAGAAAGAACAGGGTCACAGGTCACAGAGGCGGCCACCACCACCAGGAAGCCCGCCTGGGCTCTCAGACCTCCTCCACCTCCAGCCTTGGCTGTCCTGCTTAGAGGTGGGAATCTCTCTCCCCAACTCTCACCCCAGTCCAGGGTGGGAGAAGGAATCTGCTTTACTTCTTTCTTGATCCTTTTTGTGTAAAACAAGGGTGAGACCAAGGGCTTCAAAGGCAGCAGGGCACCGCAGAGTACAAACAGTGTGATTGCCTGTAGGTGATACTGGAGGGGACTGTTCAGTGGTAGAATTCTCGCCTTCCATGTGGAAGACCTGGGTTTGATTCCCAGCCAATGTGATGTGTAACCACCCCCTGCCTGCCAGTGGCGGATTGCCAGTTGCTATGATGCAGGAGCTCTGGTGGCACAATGCCTAAGGCCTTTGACTGCTAACCAGAAGGGTGCTGGTTCAAACCCACCAGCCACTCTGTGGAAGGAAGATGAGGCAGAAGCAGAAGCAAGTTGGGGCAATCTACTTTCATAAATATTTACAGCCTTGGAAACCCAGTGGGGGTCGCTATGAGTTGGAATCTACTCGACAGCAATGGGTTTGTTTTTTGGTTGTGATAATGAACAGGTTTCAACGGAAGTTCCCTATTAAGACAGACTGGGAAGAAAGAACAGATTTGTCCTGTCCTGGAAGAAGTGCATCCGGAATGCTCCTTGGAAGCGAGAGTGGCCAGACTCCGTCTCACCTACTTTGGTCATATTTATTGTCAGACGGGACCATTCCCTGGAGAAGGATACCATGCTCGGTAAGATGGAGGGTCAATGAGAAAGGGGAAGGCCCTCAGCGAGATGGATGGACGCAGTAGCTGCGATGATGGGCTCACACAGAGCAAAGACTGTAAGGATGGTGCTGGACGGGGTAGTGTTTCCTTCTGTTGTACAAAGGGTCGCTGTGGGTCAGAGCTGACTCGACGGCACCTAACAACAACAACAACAAGAGGAAGAATGGCCAGGTGGCTCTGCTAGTATTCCAGTGGCACAGCTTTGGGCATCATAACATCACGGAAGCCACCCCAGTACTGCAGACTGACAGGTAGGTGGTGGTGGTGTACTTCAGTGTATGTTAAATCTACTTCCATCTTTTAAAGTACCAGAACAAAAGAATGTACCAGGAGCACCCCAGTGCTGTCTTCCAGTAACGACCCCTCCAAGAATAACCATTGTCTTTACTTCTAACAGCTCCAGTTACCTCTGCTTGGTTTTTGTGCTGTGTAGAAGCAGAAGAGTCCCCTATTTTTGAGTGGTTCCTAGGATTTTATTTTTCTAAGAATTGATGGTTTCTAGACTATGGCCCATAGCTGCCCTTTAGGTCTGGAATTAAACCTACACCTGTGGCTTCCAGCCAAACAAAAGACAGACATATGAGTTGAACATTTACCTGAGGTAGATACACTCCTTGGAGAGAACAGTTATGGGAGAAAGAAGGGCTGTGTATTCACAGGGAGACAGCTCAGGGGGCAGGAGTGCAGGGAGGGATGGACACAGGGAAGAGGTAACTATCCGGAGGAAGTGGGAGGGGAACTGTTGCATTGTGGGAAATTGCAGTCAATGTCATGAGACAAAGTGTATGTGAACTGCTGTATGGAAAGTGAATTTGCTCTGTAAATTTTCACCCAAATCACACACACACACACAAAAAGAATTGATGGTTTCTAGCTGAGTGATAGGCTAGGGCAATGACCAATCAGAACAGTGCTGGAGACCCTTGATATGCCAGGAGGCATCCTCTGATGAGTCCCTGGTGATGCAGTGGTTAACGTGATCAGCTGTTAACGGAAAGGTTACAGGTTGGAGTGCCCCAGAGGCACTGGGAAGAAAGGCCTGACAGTTACTTCCAAAAATCAGCCACTGAGAACCCTGTGGGACGCTGTTCCACGGAGGCACACAAGGGTCACCCGGAGTCAGAACTGACTCTGCAGCAACTGATTCTGGTAACTGGGGCTGGGGATCTGTCTCCCCAGCCCTGACCCCAGCCCAGGGTGGGAGGAGGTTTGTTCTTTCTTTCACTGCTGGGTCCAGGGGAGGTCCACTGGTTCCAGGGATGTAGGGTAGAGCACATGGGAGGCTTGGGGTACTGGCCAATTGCCAAGCGGTAAGCAAGTATTTCAATATTTTACCAAGAAAAGCTCTACAGCTGCATAGCGACTGATCATCCACTCTGGTTCTCAGTATCATTGTTCCATTGGGGGCTTGGCAGGGATTGGCCCAAGTTATAGAAACAAAGGAATTTCCATTTTGATTGCATCTATTCAAGCTTTTAGACCTATATTTTAGCTTACAGGAATACAGGGAACAGAGGAACAAGCAAATGCCACCACAAGGAGACCAATAGATCTTGAATACGTGATACCCTGCAAGAAAATTGGCCTGGCTGCTTCAAAAGAAAATGCATTAAAAACACAAAAAGGTGGTGGTCAGGCCTGTTGTAGAATAAAAGAAATTAAAGGGGGTATAACAGGGAGCTCTGGTGTTGTAGTGATTAAGGCAATTGGCTGCTAACCAGAAGGTTAGTGGTTCGAACCCAGCAACCACTCCATGGAAGAAAGATGAGGCAGTCTTTTTCTGTAAAGATTGACTGTCTTAGAAACCCAGTGGAGGTCATTGTGAGTCAGAATTAACTCGATGGCAGTGAGTTTGGTTTTGTTTCTTTGAAAGGGACGTAACAGCCAAATGAGGTCCTGCTGACAGGATCTGGAGAGTCCCTAGAAGTGGGACCATACAATACCTTTGAACCTTTTGTTTTCAAGGTTCATCCATATTGTAGCATGGATTCCCCAGATATCCAGAACAGGCAGATGCATAGAAACCGAAGTTCACCAGTGGACCTGGGGTGAGTGGGAGGGTTTTGCTTAAGTGGCACAGATGAAGTGATGAAAACTTGTGCAAATGGATAAGGTGATTATTGCACAACGTGGTGCATGTAGTAACGTGACTTCATTGCACACACAGAAGTGGTTGAGATGTTTTGCTACATATGTTTTGCCAGTATAAAAATTTTAAAAATTAAAGAAATAAAAAGGCTTTGTGTGTGTGTGGGGAAAGGAGCCCTGGCAGCACAGTGGTTAAAGCACTCGGCTGCCAACCAGAAGTTTGGTGGTTCGAACCCACCAGCTGCTCCACAGGAGAAAGATGTAAGTGGTAGGCTTGCATAAAGATTATGGCCTTGGAAACCCTGTGGGGCAGTTCCACTCTGTCCTCTAGGGGCGCTGTGAGTCAGAATCCACTCCAGGGCAATGGGTTGAGAGGGAAACAAAGACATTTTGGGGGATAACTGGAAGAACTTGAATATGGATTGGACATTAGGTAAGGTTCTGGGATTATTGTTAATGCTCTTAGGTGCAGTGACAGAACTGTGGTTGTGAAGGAGAAAGTCCTCATTCTTCCGTGATGCCTGCAGAAGCTTTAGCGAGGCAGGGCCATAGGCAACTTACTTTCAAGTGGTTGAGGGGAGAGAGAGGAAGAGGAGTGAGGAAGCACACAGCGACATGTCAACAAGGAGGGGTCATGGGTCTTCACTATATAGTTCTTTCAACTTTTCTGTAAGATTGGAATCTTTCAAAATCAAACGTTGAGAGGGAAACAAATGTCCATTTCCATCTCCTGAGAGTTGTGAAAAATGTCTTGTAAAAAGAGTCTCTGAGTCTCTAGCTCCAACTTCTATGAACCCCACGTTGGAATGAGACTAATATTCTAAGCTGGTGGTTTTGCACCTTCCCCCAACCTTCACCCTGGTCTGGCCTGTTTCCTGCTTGTCCATCAGTGGGGGGTCTGGTCTCCCTACCAAGTGTACGCTCCCAACAGCTCCCCCAGGTAAGATACTCAGCAGGGAGGGGGCAGAGGTGAGGCTCTGTGGTACCACCCTCAATATCACAAGTCTTCACCCCCCACTTGCCCCTTTGCTTACTTCATGCTGGCTTCTGAGTGCACCCTCTCACCTGTACCCTCTCCACAGATGTTATGGATTCAATTATGTCCCCCAAAATAGGTATTGGAATCCTAACCTGTGATTAACCGGAGTGTACCTGTGGATGTAAGCCCCTCCTATAGCTGAGGATGTAAGCCTGTGTGGGAATAGAGTTTTTGTAATGTTCATTAGTCCATATCACTATAAAGTGTGTCCTAACCCTAATCATTTCTGAGTGACATACAGAGCAACCTAGAGTTGACAAAGACAATGGTCTACACCCTACAATGGTAAATAGAGTGACTGGGGTCTTACAAGCTAGGGAGGGGCCGTTTACGATGCAACTATCAGTCTCTCCCCCATGTGGAGGAGAGCAGAGTGAAGAAAATCCAAGACGCAAGGACACAATTAGTCCAGAGGACTCAGGGACCACATGAACTACAGTCTCTACTATTCTGAGACCAGAAGAACTTAGATGGTGCCCAGCTACCACTTCCAAACTGCTCTGATCAGGACCACAGAAGGTTCTGGGTGGAATGGAAGAAAAATGTAAAAGAAAATTCAAAAGCATGAACAAGAGCAGACTTACTGGTCTGATAGAGACTTGTGGGACCCCTGAGACTATGGGCCTTAGACACCCTTCAAACCTGGAACTGAACCTATTGCCTGGGGAGATCACCTTGCAGCCAAACAACAGTCAGGCCTATAAAGTGAACAATAACATCCATGAGGAACGTGCTTCTCCAAATAATCAACCACACGAGACCCAAGGGTGGCATTTGCCCCAAAACAAAGCTTAGAGGGCAGTAAGGACAGAAAAGAAGGAACCCAGGGAAGAAGCAGGAACAATGTCTTTATATTAAAGGAATTGCAACTAATGTTACAGAACAAAGTGTGGATAAACTGCTGAATGGAAAGCTAATGTGTTCTGTAAACTTTGACCCAAAACAGCTTAAAAGAATTTCAGCCTAGACACACAGAACCCCCCCACTGCCGCGGAGTCAATTCCTACTCATAGTGACCCTAAAGGAGAGAGTAGAACTGCCCTGTAGGGCAGTTGTAGTATTTTATGGAAGCAGACTGCCGCAACTTTTTCCCATGGAGCAGCTGGTGGGTTCAAACCACCAACCTTAGGTTAGCAGTCAGGCTTTCACCACAGCACCACCAAGGCAAACAGGGGAAGAGAGATGCCACATGAAGATGGCCAAGGCACCAAGAAACTTGTTCTTTCAAAAACAAGTCTCTTCCCCAGAGCCAACAGAGAGAAAGCTTCCCCTTGAGCCCTGAATTCAGACATGTAGCCCCCTAACGTGTGAGACAATTTCTGTTTGATAAAGCTGCCCCCTTGTGGTATTTCTGTTACAGCAGCACTAGGAAATGAAGACAACATCCAACTGTTTCTTTAGGATTTCACTTTGGAGCCCACCTCCTCCAGGAAGACTTCCCTGACCCTCCCGTTGTTGACATGCTTTCCCTGTCCAGACTCTGGCCCTCCCATCCCAGGAAGGAGAGAGGGAGTCCCGCAGGGAGGGGTCTCGGCAGGCTCAGACACTCACATGCAGTTCCTGGCGGCCAGGTCCCTGTGTATGAATCTCTTGGTGCTCAGATACTCCATACCGCTGGCGATGTCTGCCATGAACTTCACCAGCATCTGGGTGGGCAGGAACTGTGGGGCCAGGACATGGGTGGTGGTCACCATAGTCCCTGAGATACATCCCGGGCCTCTCCCACCTTCTCTTCCTGTGTGCCTAGCTCTGTCATACAGTGGTTTCCCAAGGCTCTGAGAATTCAATGCAGCCCCTTCCGTGTCCTTGAAAAGCAAGAAAAACCGACCAGATGCTGCCCAGTCTCAGCCTCATGGTGACCCCGTGTGTCACCCAGAGTAGGTCTGGGCTCCACAGGGTTCTCAGTGGCTGATTTTCAGAAATAGATCACCAGGCCTTCCTTCTGAGGTGCCTCTTGGGGGACATGAACCGCCAACCTTTTGGTTAGCAGCCAAACCCTTTGCTTCCTTCTCTGACTTGATCTCCTACCGTTCTTGCCCTTGGCATACACCCCAGTCATACCAGCCAGCAGGCTTCTTTCTGCTGTTCAAACAAGCCACACTTGTCTAAACCTCAGAGCCTTTGTTCTCGAGGTCCCCTCTGCCAGGACTGCTTCTCGCCCAGATCTCCCCTCCTCCCCAACTGCTCTGTCTTCAAGGTCACCTCCTCCTCGGTGAGGTCGTCCCTGTCCACCCAAATCAGCCTCTGTCATCCCTACTACTTTGTGTGTCCTTCCTAGCACTTAAATCATCTCGTTTATGTATTTGTTAATTGCCTGGGCCCTGCTGGAAGGTAAGCTGCATGAGACCCAGCTCCTTGTGACAGTGGCCTGCCAAGTGTCTGAGTAGGTGCTTGGGGGCGGAATGCTGTGAGAGGGGCCCCTCACCACTGGCTGGTCCCCGAGTCGCGAGTAGAGCAGGAAACTGTGGAGGTCTCCGTGTTTCATGAAAGGCAGGATGACCACAGGTGCCGGGAAGCCCTCGCGTTCAGAGCCCTGGAAACAAACGCCTGAGCCCCCCAGTGGCGCTGTCACTCCATTAGGCAGAAGGAGCAGCCCGGCCCCCTCCCCCAGCCAGACTCCAGCTCCCTCTGCCCCTGCCTCTAAAATCTGGCCTCCAAATTGGGGTGGGGGAGTTGGTAAGGACGGAGCTTCAGAGAAACCGTTTCCAGCGCGGTTCCCAGGGATGTTTCCGGAGCCCTCCTGGGGACCTCAGCTATTTCTGGGAAAGTTCAGAGGTCACATTCCAGGCTGGGAGAGAGTGGGAGGAGGGGGAAGCTTGGTGATGCTGGGGAGAGGGGCAGGGAACCTGGAGGTTTGGGGCTCCTAGTGCCTGAGGGATGGGTGCTCGGGTCTTGCCTGCGTGGGGCCAGGAGCCCCTCCCTCACCGATGAGCCTCATGACGTTGGGGTGGTCAAATTCCTTCATGCAGACGGCTTCACTCAGGAAATCCTCCAGCTCCGACCTCGTGCAGATGGCAACTGGAGGGGGGAGGAGGGCAGGTGAGAGGAGGGAGCTGAGGGGGCAAAGAATCCGCCCTCCTCCTCACCTTCATTATCATCATCTTCATCAAATACCATGGAGGACTTACTAAGTACCAGGTGCTGCTGTTGTTATCTGCTGGTTGAGTCGAGGGACTCATAGTAACCCCTCCTTGGGTTTCCAAGGCAGTATCACTACGGAAGTAGATTGCCCCATCTTCCCTCCAAGGAGGAGTGGCTGGTGGGTTTGAACTGCCAGACTTCAGGTTAAGCAGTCAAGTGCCTTAGGCACTATGCTACCAGAGCTCCTACCAGGTGCTGTGGGCAGGGCTTTATATGTATTATTTCATTCTCCGAGCTGCTACTGTTATTGTCCCCATTTAAAGACTGGGAAACCAAAGCACAGAAAGGTTAAGGAAACTGCCTAAGGGCCCACACAGCTTGAAAGAGGTGGGATTCAAACCCAGTCCCTCTGGCTCTCAGGTCTTGCTAACCACCAGGCTAGGCTGCTCCTCAGCACATTCCCAGCCACCCTGGAGGTCCATCCCACTGCCCTCAAGTGGATTCCAACTTGTAGCAACTCCCATTGGGTTTCCAAGGCTGTCATTCTTTATGGATTGCCTCATCTTCCTCCCGTGGAGCAGTTGGTGGGTTTGAACAGCCGATCTTCCGGTTAGCAGCCAAATGCCTTACCCGCTACACCACTAGAACTCCTTTCTGGGGTTCCATAGGATAATTATCATCCCCTTTAACAGATCTGGTGGCATAGTCAGTAAGACATTTGGTTGATAACCAGAAGGTCAGAGGTTCAAACCCACCAGCTGCTTTGCAGGAGGAAGATGAGGCAATCTATTTCTGCGAAGATTTATTTACAGCCTTTGAAACCCAATGGGGGTTGCTGTGAGTCAGAATGGGCTTGATGGCAGTGGGTTTTGATTTATTTTCTGACGTATCAGGACACTGTGGCTCATAAAGGCAAAGTGACTTGCCTAGGGTCACACGGCTGGATTCAAACCCAGGTGGAAAACATTGCCTGGTAATAGGAGGTGGTCAAGAATGAATGAATGAATGAATGAGGGGGTGATGATTCCATAGCCCATGCTTTTAACCCCTGTAATTCAGAAGGGATCATTCCTCTCTCACCTCTAATCCCACCCTGACCCTACCTGTTTCTTCTTCCTGTGGACAGGACTTAGCTCTGAGCTTCCTGTGCTGTGTGGCCCTGGACTGCCTCCTGCCCTCTCTGATGATGTAAGTAATATAGTTGTAGTCCACTTTAACAGCATATGCCATCTCCAGCATTAAGTACTTTGCCTCACAATAGCCCTAGAAGGTTGGAACATTAGGAACCCTTTTTCTGGAAGAGGAAACGGAGGCTCAGAGAGAGAAAGTCACTTGCCTAAGATCACACAGCCAGTAAGTGATGAAGCCAAGTGTACCTCATTCCGGGCCTTTGCCTGCTCTGGAGCTCTGGTAGCATAGTGGCTAAAGCACTTGACTGCTAACCAGAAGGCTGGCGGTTCAACCCACCAGCCACTCCTCGGAAGGAAGGTTGGGCAATCCTACTTCCGTAGTGATACTGCCTCAGAAACCCAAGGAGGGGTCACTATGAGTCGGGGTCGACTGGAGGGCACATAACAACAACAGCTGTGTCTCACAGGGGGCCTACCCATGAAAACTACATTTCCCAGACTCCCTTCCTACTGTTCTTACTGGAGTTTGCCAATGATAGGCACTGAAGGGAAACTGGCAAATGGGTGAAAGGAGAAACCAGGGTATTTCACCTTTTGTCTTTCCACTTTGGTATTTCCTTGGCAGTGGCTGTGTCTCTGTGTTTTCACTCCCACAGGGTACTCTGACCTCTGTGGTCTCCAGTTCCACCAGGCATCCCTGGCTCATGTGCTCTGGTAACACTCCCTCTTCCCTCTGCCCTTTCTACTCCCTACGCCTTTCTGTAAGCTTCCTATATTAAATTCCTTCTATTTGAAGTACCTGGCATGGTCTCTGCTTCCTATCTGAAAACACTGATGGGACTAATTTGCATTAACACTTCCGTTCTCCTGCCTCCTTAGGGGCATAGGGAAGAGGACTAGGGTTATGGGGTGGGGCTTCCACATGTGAGTACATGTGCACACAGACTCACTCTTCATTGTCTTCACGGCCACCTTGAGGATGGAGTCGTCCTGGTTGAGCTGGCCCTCCATAACAGCTCCAAACTCGCCTGTGGAGGGTAGGAGAGAGACAATGATCTCAGGGGTCCTGACTGTTGCGTGTGTCTTGGGGGGAAGAGTGCTGGGGGTACTGACCTTCTCCCAGGGTCTTCCCCAGGGCCACCTTATGCCGGTCCACCATCACGTCCCGCAACTTCTCCTTTAGCTCTTCACTGATGCCCAGGCTGTTCACTGCAGGGAAGGTGGCAGTGAACAGAGCCATGGAGCACGGTTGACATTCAGGTGACACTCACCAGTAGGGAATACACCCATTGTTAAAATACTTAAGTACTTATGCATTGGTTCAAAAAATTGCTACTGTCCTAAGCACCCTGGCTCCTTCTCTGGGTCCTCTGAAATGTCCCCCTGAAGCAGCAGCTAGAATCACACATAAGCTCTTGCTTCAGTGGATACCATGTTTGGTCAGCACCTGCTGTACCAGTTGTTAAAAATACTTCTTAACTTTTTGAGGTAACTAAGGAGCTCTGGTAGCATAGTGCCTAAGGCACTTGACTGCTAACCAGAAGGCTGGTGGTTCAAACCCACCAGCCACTTGTTGGAAGGAATATTGTGATAGTGATCTCACTGCCATCGAGTCGGATCCGACTCATAGCGACTCCTCCTTGGGTTTCCAAGGCAGTATCACTGCAGAAGTAGATTGCCTAACCTTCCTTCCGAGGAGTGGCTGGTGAGTTTGAACCACCAGCCTTCTGGTTAGCAGTCAAATGCCTTAGGCACTATGCCACCAGAGTTCCCTCTGTAGTGATACTGCCTCGGAAACCCAAGGAGGGGTCACTTTGAGTTGGATCCAACTCGATGGCAGTGAGTTAACTTTGTCTCGCAGATAATACGCACTGGTCAAGCTCCTACATTAAATTCCTTCTACTGAAGTACCTGGCATGGGCTCTGCTTCCTGCCTGGAAACACAGATAGGACTAATTTGCCTCATCGTAAGTGAGCAGCTCAGTGGGTTTTCACAAACATACACAGCTGTCTAGCCAGCACCCAGGCCATGAACAGACTGTGCTCTCTCAGGCCTCATCAACTCTCCTGGCTTCCCTTTCCACTGCTTCCTCTGTTTTGGAATGTTGTAAGAATGGAATCACGTCGTACGTCCTTTTCATTTCTAGATTCTTAGCATCATGTCTACGAGTGCAGTGTTTGTGTGTAGTGGTAATGCATCCACTCTCACTGCCGTACAGCTACAGTTCTGAAACTGACTGTTCTCGGGACACCTTTACATCCATCAGATTGTTGAGGACCACAGAGAGCTTTTGTGTGTGTGAGCTAGAGAGATGGTTATTGATTATCTTCAAAATTAAAACAGACAACTGTTTTAATTACAAGAATAGACAAGCACACATTCCACTGACTGTCAGAGTGGTGACATCATCTTACATCAGGGAGCCTTGGGAGAACTCCACTGAACACTCATGTGAAAAGGGCAAATCACATCTTAGTAGTATTGTGAAAATACTTGTGACCTTGTGGATGCACTGCAGAGGACGCAGGGTCCCCAGGGAACCCAGATCACACTTTGAGAACTACTGTTGTGTATCAGTCCATTAGATCACTGTGACCTCTTCCTTGTCCTGAATAAATGTCTTTTCCAGCCCCTTCCAAACATCCCCCTGGGGCCCTGGCAACCTTCTCCCTGTGTGCTACAGAGAGACCTGACTCTGGCTCTTCTTTCTAGATTTCAGTTCCCTTCTCAGGAAAGATGCAATTTGACTCAGTAGGCTCTGAGGTTCTCATTAGCTGAGAGGCTCCCTCATCCTACAATTCTCTAAGATTCTGTAATTTTCTGAAGATTCCATTATCATCATCATCATCATCTTGGCATCATCATCATCACCTCATCATCGTAATCTCAGTGTTACCATCAATGACATCATCATCTCATTATCATCATCAACATCATTATCATTAATTCATCATCATCATTACATTGTTCTAAGATTCTACGACTCTGTGGTTTAGTGTTTCTAAGACTTACTATGTTTAAGATTCTATTATTCGAAGGTTCTATGTGGTCTGCAATTCCAGTATTCTGAGGATCTGTGGTTCTAAGATTCTAGTGTTCCAAGGCTTTCAGGGTCTTTTGGCCCTGCTTCTGCGGAGGCCCACAAGGCCCAGGTCTCTACACTCTTTAGCTGCAGACCTAGGCAGGGAGTCATGGGTGCACTTACAGGTGGCTTCAGTAGTCCGGCGACTGTAGGACTTGCGGACGTGGTACCTGACAACCAGTTCACCCCTCTCCACTGTTGGCTCAAACACCTCCCTGGGGGGGGGGGATGGAGAGAAGGTGAGGGTAGAGAAGAGCCATGTGGACTCCTTCACTTTCCACCAGCAGTGAAACTGAGCGCCATTCCAACCCTCAGCCCTGCCTGGTCTCTCTTCTGGCATCTGCTGAATAGGTCTTAGGCTGCTATTTTCTACCTTCCATTCATCTTCCAGGCCCTTTCCCTGACTGGGCTCTTGGTCATCTCTCCTACACCACCCTCCTCACTGGTTTCTCAGCCTCTCCATCTCAGTGCATGTAAGTCATCCCATGTGGTTCCAACTCACCCATAGCGGGTCTCCTTCTTCCGGTGGTGGATGAGGAACAGAGCCAAGATGAGGACACAGGCAGCGGCCACAACTGCTCCCAGTAGTACATACCACCAGGGCCATGAGAAGGCAGGGGCTGGGGGTTCACTCACTGTCAGGGGGCATGGGGGACAGGTCATGGCTGAGGTCCTGGATCCAGGTCCCTGAGACCCAAAGGGGTGGTGTTGGAGGGACGGGAGGCATGGAAAGGGAGTGGACATATTTAATGGGTTACAGGATGGGTGCGTTTGTGTATTTGAGGGAACTGTGATTGGCTAGGCAGTGTAGGCAACGGATCTGATGTAAGTGTGCGTGAAAGTGAAGGAATGTGAAACTTCCAGGGTGGATGAGTTAAGAGTGGAGTGGACATTTGAGGAGTGTGCAGTGAGTGTGGAAACAGTATGGAATGGGATGAGAGACATGCGTGGAATGGGTTATGCCTTTGCAAGGAGGGCTGGATGAGCATGGAATGGGTGTGAGTTAATTTAACACAGTATGTGTGTAAGCACATATGTACAGGTGGGTGTGATATGTATCATGATTGTGCAAAGAGGGTGGTCTTGGGTGCAGAAAAATTGAGGTGAGTAGTGGAGAGAAATGCGTGCAGCAGAAGATGGAAGCATTAGGCATGTGCAATGAGTGTGCAAGGTGTGAGACTCGTGGAACAAATGGGGAAGGAATATCTTTAAGGAGTGTGCAGTGACTATGGAAGGATTCTCCTATACCATGGGTTGCGTGTAAAATAAGCATGTGAAAGGATGTAGTGAGTATGCACAGAATGTGGGACAGGTGTTGGAGGAGTTTGGGATAGGTGAGTGAGGAGTATTCAAAGGGCTTTACAGATTAGGAGTGAGATTGTGAGGATGGAACTGGTGTGAGAGGAACATGCAGTGGGCCTGGGAAAGATATGTGGGAAGGGCAGGGGAGGGGTATGGGATGAATGGAGGGGCATGCAAAAAAAGATGTGTAAGGAATAAATAATGGGTATGCACTGAGTGTATGAGTTGTCATGAGTGTGTAAAAAGACTGGATGAGAATTGAGGAGGGGCAGATGATCAGTGTTTAAGGAGTGTGAGATGAGTGTGCAAGGAAAGTTTAGGGTATGGATAGTGTGGACTGAAAATTGGGCAATGTATTTGCAGTGTGGAATGTATGGTGAGTATGTAATAAGTGCAGAGTTTGTGAATATGGGAGAGAGAATTGTGGATGTGTGATGGTGTTGGGAGGCATGTGTGAGGAATGAGGGATTATTATAATGGGATGAATATGGAAGGGTGGGATGAGTGTGGAAAGGTGTGCAAAGAAATGTGGGAAAACGTGAGGAATTGTTAAGAACAGTGGATGGATTTACAAGGAATGGGCCATGACAGTGCTAGGAAGGTTGGATGGATGTAGGAGGAATGTTTGAGAATTGGAGAAATATTTGAGAGGGATGGATGTGTGGGTGAGGATATCCTATCGATTGATCCATCCATCCATCCACCCACCCACCCATCCATCCATCATCTACTCATCCACCCATCTGTCTGTCCATCTGTCCATCTATCTACCCATCCATCCATCCTTGTACCCATCCAACCATCCATTCATCCACTTACCCACCCATTTATCCATCCATTCATCCACCCATCCATCTACTATTCACTGACTGTCTACAATATGCTGGATCTTCTGGGCACATCCATCAAGGACCACAGACATCCAAGACGTAAAGGTTTAGAGTGATGACTTTGAGAACTGTAAAGGATATGCAAAGAGTATATGTGTGCTTATGAGGCCCTCACTAGGTGCTAAGGGGAAGGAGGAAGGAAAAGAGGTACAAAAACCCTTACCCAGCTGGTGTATTGGCTGTCCTTGCCCTGTGAGGAGAAAGGACAGACAGGAGACATGCTCAGAGAGGAAGAGACTGGTGGGACCCAGCTGAGGGAGTGAAGGATGCTCTCAGTCAGGTTCAGGGTGGGGATAGAGCCTAGGCTGGAGTAACACTACAAGGTACAGGGAGCAAGTCGGGTAGCTAGGAGAGACCAGGTCCCTGCGGGTAAATCGAAGGGGGCTGACAATGGCTTTGGAGTTACCTGGGCGCCAGGGCTCCAGGGGTACGGGGAGGCTCCAGGGCCCATCCCCAGCAGCGGTGTAGGCTGCCACCGACACCATCAGGTTGGGCACCGTCCCTTCCCCCCGCAGCTCCAGGATCACCTCCTGCTTTAGCCCTATGTCCATGAGCACCTAGGAGGTCCAGAAGTGGCATCAGGGTAGAACCCCAGACCCTTAACCCTTGAGCCTTCATCTTCTGCCTTAGTGAGCCATCTCTTTCTTCAGGCCCTCTCCTCAACCCCCAGTTCTCATCCCCTACTCTTCCTACCCTTCATCTCTCCTCTCATATCCTTTTATCTCTTTCTCCATCACTACGCCCACTCAAATATCAGCTAAAGGCAGGACTTTATCTGTTTCCTTCATTGCTGGGTCTCCAGGTCCCAGACAGTGCTTGGCACACAGTACTGCTCTGGCAATGTTTGTGGAGTAACATTTCCCCTTCATCCCTCCGACCCCTTTCAACTTCCTAAACTCCACCCTCAGGATTGTGGGTAGCCCAGACAATATCTTTGTTTAAATTAAAAGGCACCCTTTCTTGAAGCTATTAAACTGCTATAAAACAGTCAATATCTAACTCAATTTGAAGGCGCTCTGGTGATGCAGTGCCTAAGGCATTTGACTCCTAACCAAAAGGTTGGCAGTTCAAACTCACCAGCTGTTCCATGCAAGGAAGATGGGACAATCTACTTCCGTAAAGATTTAGTTCCTTGGAAGCCCAGTGGGGGTTGCTATGACTTGGAATCGACTCAACCAATGGCAGTGGGTTTGTTTTTTTTTTTAAATTGTGATTTGGGTGAAAGTTTACAAAGCAAATTCACTTTCCATACAGCAGTTCATATACACTTTGTCTCATGACATTGACTACAATTTACCTCAATGCAACAGCTCCCCTCCCACTTCCTCCTGATAGTTACCTCTTCCCCGTGTCCATCCCTCCATGCACTCCTGCCCCCTGAGCTGTCTCCCTGTGCATAAACAGCCCTTCTTTCTCCCATGATTATTCTCTCCAAGGAGTATATCTACCTCAGGTACATGTTTAACTCATATGCCTGTCTTTTGTTTGTCTGGAAGCCACAGGTGTGGGTTCAGTTCCAGACCTGAAGGGCAGCTAGGGGCCACAGTCTTAGTGGTTCCACCAGGCTCTATCAGAGCAGCAAACCTGGTCCCATTTTTTTTTCCCCAAAAATAATTTTGAGTTTTGTTCCACATTGTTCTCTCTCTCTATCCAGGATCTCCTACATAGATCCCCCTCTGAGTGGTTGACAGTGAGCACCATCTACTTCTGGTGTCATAGGTGTATAGGCCGAGGATCACATGGTTTATCAGTCGCTAGGACTAATTGTTTCTGTGAATCTTTGGTTTTCTTCATTTTTCTTTGCTTTGGATGAGGAGAGACCCATTGTTGCATCTAGATGGATGCATGCAAGCTTTTAAGATCCCAGTTGCTACTCGCCAAAGTAGGAGGTGGAATAATATTTTGTGTAGTATGTTATGAATGGCAGTGGGTTTTAAGTCACTTCTGACTCATGGTGACCCCATGTGTGTCAGAGTAGAACTGTGCCCCATAGGGTGTCCAATGACTTGACTATTCACAAGTAGATCGCCAAGTTTGTCTTCTGAGGTGTGTCTGGGTGGACTTCAACCACTGACCTTTCAGTTAGCAGCCAAGTGCTTTAATTGTTGGTGCCACTCAGAGACTCCAACTGTGTGTTGTTGTTGTATGCCATTGAGCCGATTCCAACTTGCAGAGACCCTATAGGACAGACTAGAAGAGGCTCAGAGGGTTTCCAAGGCTGAAATCTTTATGGAAGCAGATCTCCACGTCTTCCCCAGCAGAGCTACCAGTGGTGGGTTAGAACTGTGGGTCTTTTATTTAGTGGCTGAGCACTTAACCACCACACCAGCAGGACTCCTTTCGAGATATATAAGTATACTGAAAAAATGCTTTCATAATGGTTCCCAAGTGGCCTCTCCCTAGCCCCTCCTCTGGGCCCCCTTAGCTTCTCCAGCGTTTGAATGGGAACCTCCCCCAAAATAAGCTTCTTTGACATTAGGGTGATTGCAGACTACCCAACCTGCACCACGATCCATGGCTTCCCTGACAATTTCTCTTCCCTGTCTCCCACCTCCCCCAGTCACTCCGCCCCAACCCAGCCAGCAGCACCCACCTCGGGGGTGTCCTGGCCTCGATACGCCAGCCGGTACCCTAACAGGGTGCCCTGCAGGGGCGCCCTTGGCTCCTGCCAACGGACGAGGGCCTGGCTCCCGTTCCGCACGGCGCTAACGTTCTCGGGAGGGCCCAGGGGCACTGGAGGACAGGGGAGAGGGGAAGCTGGTACCCCACCTCCTTCTGACCCCCTTCCAAGTTCCCAGGAAGTGGAGGGCAGGGTGCAAAGGACATGCGCGTGGGCAAACTCATGCAGGCCTCCCAGGGGCGGAAGCACGGGAGAAAGGCCTGGGAGAGATGCCAGGGGGCAGTGCTGGGGGTTGGGGCCTAGAGGGGAAGGAGACTGAGCTCACATGGGGAAACGGATTAGAGAAGACGCTGCAGGCATGGGGAGCAGGTGGTCACCGAGAGAGCAGGGTCCAGCAGAGCAGTGAGCGCCAGTCCCTGCAGCCCCTTCTTACCTCCTTCTGGGGTCTCCACGGGGACCCAGTGGGTCCAGGGAGAGGAGCCCTGGCTGCTGGCACACGCCACCCGGATATGATAGGAGGTGTGAGGATGGAGGCCGCCCAGGCGAAGTCGGTGGGGGGGCACGGAGGCTTGCAAGGTCAGGGGCTCCTCCGGAGGGTCTGGGCCTCCCAGCCAGACGCCTACCCCATCGTCCGAAAGCACAGCCTAGGGAGAGGGGAGGGGCGTGAGGGCAGGACGGCCACATAGTCACGTATGGTGGCCACACACGCTCGACCGTGGCATCCACTGTGACTCCACGACTCTGCAAGGCTGTGTGTGTGTCCTAGCTCCTCTCAAGAGCGACACGGGCGCACAGTTTGCAAAGAGAGAGGACTGACTCACAGCTGCACAAGCGTGGCCCCATCACCACTTACAAAAGCCACCTCTGTCAAGACTCTTTCCATCCCCGAGCATCAGTTTCCTCATCTGGAAAATGGGGATTTAGAGGAACAAATGCCTCACTGGGTGGCTTACACATTACAGGTACGTAGTTATGCCAGGAGTCTGGCTGAGTACGGGGCAGGTGGCCAGCACCAATAATAACAGTAACAGTGATGACAATCACAGTGATGACCAGAAGTAAAAGCACACACGGTGAGATCCCATATATATGACATCCAACCCCAGGCAAAAGCCGTGTCTAACAACAGAAACCAGAAGACTGGTCATCTCTGGGAGCCTGGTGGTTCTGTGTCTTGCTTTGGAGGGTGGTTCATTGCCTGGGTGAATTAAAATAACAACAAGAACAACAACAAAAAACCTACCATTGCCCTCAGAGTTGAATTCTAACTCACAGCAACTCTTATCTATAGGATGAAGTAGAACTTCCCCACAGGGTTTCTAAGGCTGTCTCTTTACTGACGCAACTATGCATCTTTCTCCCACAGAGCGGCTGGTGGGTTCAAACCACTGACCTTTCAGCTAGCAGCCGAGTGAACCGCTACGGCTCCCAACTGAGTGAACACACATGTAAGAGCTCTGGTGGCATAGTGCCCAACGCATCTGACTGCTAACCAGAAGGCTGGGTGTTCAAACCCACTAGCTACTCTTTGGAAGGATGATTGGGCAATCTACTTCTGTAGAGGTACCTCCTCAGAAACCCAAGGAGGAGTCGCTATGTGTTGGATCTGACTCAACAGCAGTGAGTTTGTTTTTTTGGTTATGTATGTTTTATCTCAATTAAAAAAATAAAAACCTTTTGATAAAGTCTTTCGATGCGCATAAGAATTTAATTTTTAAAAGGTCCCAGTCATCTAGCTTCTCTTCTATCTCCTGCGCATTCTGGGTTATACTTGATAGTCTATTATGCTGTAAATTAGGGCTTCCAGATTTGCCTCAGTTTTATCTTTGATGAATTTTATGGTTTTGGGTTTCACATTTAAGTCTTTGATCCAGCTTGAGTTGGTTTTTGTGTATGGGGTGAGGTGTGGGTCCTGTTTCATTTTTCTGCAGGTGGATATCCAGTTTCTCCAGCACCATTTGTTAAAGAGGCTGACTCTTCCCCATTTAATGGGCTAGTTGGGGCCCACACGCTGACGTGGGTAAGGGGAGAGATATACGGAAAGGAATTTGACCACCAGGATAACATTAGGAAATGGGAGGACATAGAATTGTGCACATAAGAGATAGACGACAGATGCTAATACCAACCACTATGTTCACAATACTGCAATACCATTAACACCAAGCACCAGGCTACAGATAAACACATAAACACCTGAGAAGATCAGATGGAGGTCAGTGAACAGGAGTATACTCTAGACCAAGGATAGATTCAGCTGAGGCTAATCTTGCACAGACACCAGTGATACAAAATACCTGCAATCATTACAGAAGCAATAGAAGACAGACACAGAGTAATTCGTCACAGACACCCAGACACTATGGGAGAGAGATCCAATAGATCTACTAGCTCAGGACTAGTGCTGGGGGACACCAGACTCAGTTGGCACAACAAAATACATAAAAGCCTTGTTCCACATCCTACATTGGTGAGTAGTGACTGGGGTCTTAAAAGCTTTCAAGCGGCCATCTAAGATGCAGCTAATGGTCTCCTGGCATCAAAAGTGAAGAAGAATGCAAAAAAAAAAAAGGGGGAGGCACTTGGAAGCAATCAGCCATAGGACACGATGGCCCTCAAGACCAGAAGAACTAGATGGTGCCTGGCTACCAATGCCAACCACTCAGGGGAGGATCAAATCTGGAGATCCTGGATAGAGAGGGAGGAAAAACGTGGAACAAAAGCCAAAAACTCAATAATGACCAGAATTACTGGTCAGAGGAAGTCTGGTGAGACCCCCAATACTGTGGCCCTGGGATACATTCTGTGCCTGGAAAAAACGCACCCCCAGGGGCTGGCTTTCAGCCCAATAGTTAACAAGATGTACACGCAGACCACTCAACCCAGGATGATACACCCACATACTCCATGGTAATATACCCCTTAGAGCAATGGACCATGGGGCACCGGAGGACCAACATTCAGGTTGAGGAAATGCAGGACAAATAGGATTGCATAAATATGAGGGGCACAGGCGGAGGGTTACAGGGTAAGGAGGGAAGGAGACTGTAATTAGGGTTGGACACGGTAAATGGGGAGTGAAACTAAATGTATGTATAACATTGAATGTAAAACAGCTTTTAAAATAAAATTAAAAAATAAAATGTTTACACACACAAAATAAATAAATAAATAAATAAAACCTCTGCAACACTGATGAAGTTCTAAGCCTTTCTAAGTCTGAACATGTTTGACCCTCATGTTAGCCCTGTGACGTAGGTACTGTGGTTACCCCACTCTACAGAGAAGGACACTGAGGCCTGGTGAGATGGAATTACGTGCCCAAGGTCCCCAGCTTGCCACTGACGAAGCTGTGACCTGAGCCCTGTCCTATCTCCAAAGCCTCTGCTGGACTGGTATGAACATTCACATGAGACGCCAACAGTGGTAACAGTAATGCTCACCTGTCCAGAGAGGCAGATGCAGAACTAGCTTGGCGCTGAAGAGCATGGATGCTGGGACCCAGGTTCAAATCCAGGCTCTGCTACCCCCTAGTCCTGTGCCCCAGTTTCCTCATCTATAAAATGAGATGATAGCAGTAGCTCCCTACTTCACGGGGTTGACTGAATTGACACATGTGTTAAGAGTGCGGGTGCATACTGAGTGTTTGTCAGTATTATTGTGTGTGTGTGTGAGGTTGCCTGGTAACAACTGTCAAACTCTGCGCAACCCTGCAGAGGGGCACAGGCTTGCACCCTTTCTCAGTCCCCAGAAGTGGCACTACCAGGACAGAGGGGGCCATGGCTGGGGACACATCTCACATGTGTACGCTGTTGTGCAAGGGTATACAACCCTGCCACATGGAACCATAAATGACCATGGCCACACAACTTATAGGTGCACAGCTCAGGAGTGCTGCTGCCCAGGGCCTGACCCCAACTGCACCATCACACGCCTGGGAGACCCCAACTGCACTGCCACACAGTGTGTTGGGAAGGAGTTTACTGCCTAAGAATGTGGGCTTTAAAACCAGATCCCTTGGGTCTGAGCCCTGGCTTGGCTACTTATTTGCTGTGTGACTTAGTGTGAGTGTCTTAACTTCTCTGAGTCTCAGTTTCTGTCTCTAGAAAATGGGGATCAAAGATTCTCTACTTGGCAGGGCTTGAAGTTTAACGGCATAATGCAGGTAAACTGGTTTGCACGTCATATTATCAGCTAGCATTTCTTGAGTGCCAACTATGTATGTGTCAAGCATGACATCAAGCACATTTCTGGATTAACTCATTCACTTCTCACCACCACTCTATGAAGTCAACTTCTTTTTTCATCCCCATTTTACATGGAGGAAACCAAGGCCCAGAGAGGTTCAGCACCTTGCCCAAAGTCACACAGCCCCCATGAGGGAAGCCGTCACAGCACGAGACCTCTGGAGGAAGCAGGCAAGACGGTGGGCAGCAGGAGTGGGCTGAGGCTGTCCCTGTCCCTGCTCTCTGACCCAGAGTGACAGATGAAAAGGGGAACCTGTGCTGGGACAGAGGGGAGATGGGTACAGACAGTTGGCCTCCTCCTGCTCTTTCCCACTTCTCTTTTCCTTGGGACGGCTGTGACCCTCCCGACCGGACTCTTTAGGCCCAGCCTATGCACAGCAGGAAGTGAGACCTGGAAAAGGAAGAAGACACACTTCTGCTTTCCTGGGGACACTGGATATGGGTGGGGCACAGCTGATGCCTGACCCTGGCATCTGAGGTTTCCCACATCAGGTCTGACCTCTGGGATTGAATCTCAGCTTCCCTCCTTCCTAGCCCCTTTTCCTGTCTGGGCCTCAGTTCCTTGCCTTGAAAATCAAGAGACCAATAGCTGATACCTTTTAGGGTGAATGAGGCTATGCCTACAGCAGGGAATTATAAAGACAGCTCCTGTTTAATCAAGCATGGACTTTAATTGGCTTCTAAGTCTTCTAATGAGGTTAGGAACACCGTTCGGGTGTGTTGAGATAAGGGTTCAAATCTGACCTCTGCCACTTCCTGGCCATGAGCTTGGGCAAGTTGTTTAACTGCTCCGAGCCTCAGTTTCTACATCTGGAAAAGGGGCATATCAACAGATCCGACCCCAAAAAAACACATACGGTAGTGTGCACAAAGCTATATAGTACAGGGCCCAGATTGCCCAAGCTTCCTTCTGAGGAGTGGCTAGTGGATTTGAACTGCCAGCCTTCTGGTTAACAGTCACATGCCTTAGGCACTATGCCACCAGAGCTCCCGGTACATGCAATTAACCCTCAAGTAAAGCTGGTCAGTATTAATTACCATCATTTCCCATCGCAGGCTGTGTCCCAACCTCACCTCCAACTTCCGAATCTCAGAGAACTTCAGAACAGAACTAGTCCTTGTATTTACAGATCTGTCACTTTCACTTTGTTTTCCCAATAGGAGCAGGAGCAACTTCAGGGCAAAAAGCTGAGTCTAGCTCATGCTGTTATTGTTGTTGTTAGGTGCCACTGAGTTGTCTCCAACTCATAGTGACCCCATGCACAGCAGAACGAAACACCGCCCAGTCCTGCGCCAGCTCCATGCTCCCTGCCCATCGTCGCAGCTACTGTGTCAATCCATCTCATTGACGGCCTTCCCCTCTTTCTTCGACCCTCCACCTTACCAAGCATGACATCCTTCTCCAGGGAATGGTCCCTTCTGATAACATGACCATCCTAGTGGTCAGAAATTCTTCTGGTAAATATTGCCTATTTCATATCCAGCCCGATGCTCGGTGATACAGAGGACCAAGTGGTGACTGAAACAAGCCCAGCCTGTCCTCACAGAGCTCACTGTCCAGTGGGAGAGACAGACGCATCCCCAGAGAATGACAACCCAGGGGCCAGGGCCTGGATGGGAGAGGCATGGGCAGAAGGGCTGGGGTTTGCAGAGGGAAGCTTGGGCAGAAGAGTCAGGTTGGCATGGGGACCCAGTGGGGACCTAGACGACCCAGTGAGGACGGAGATAACCCAGCCTCCTGCTTTCTCAAGGCTCCCATTCTAGAGGTAATATCACTAAACCAAGACATGAAGCCGTGGCCTCGTCCATCCTGAGACCAGAAGAACTAGATGGTGCCCGGCCACCACTGCTGATGGTTCTGCCCAGGGCCACAATAGCTGGACCCTGACAGAATGGGAGGCGTATGCAGAACAAAATTCAAATTCTTAAAAAACCCAGACTGACTGGACCACTCGAGACCAGAGGACTCCCTGAGACGTCACCTGAAGTACTCCCTAAACCTTGAACCAAAACTACCCCGAGGTCACCTTTTAGTGAAATAACAGATTAGCACACAAAATAAAGAACATCGTCTGAAAGTTGAGTGCTCCATTAAAAAACCACCTATATAAGACCAAAAGGTCAACATTTGATTCGAAGCAGAGATGGGATCAGGAAGCAGGAAAAGCTGGGTACTGAATAGGGAACAGACAGAACACAATAAGACAGAACACAATAAAAAGAACGCTGACACATTGTGAAAAATGTGACTCCTGTCACGGGAGAATTTGCATAGAAATTGTCAAAAGGAAACGTAATTTTCTGTGTAAATTTTCACAAAAAACACAATGAAATATTATTTAAAAATTATATATTACTAATACCAAAAATAGGAGCTCTGGAGGCACAGTGCCTACGGCATTTGGCTGCTAACCAGAAGGCTGGTGGTTCAACCCACTAGCCACTCCTTGGAAGGAAGATTGGGCAATCTACTTCCGTAGAGACACCGCCTTGGAAACCCAAGGAAGGGCCGCTGTGAGTCAGATTCTACTCGATGGCAGTGAGAATACTAAAAATAATGAAAATATTATGTGCCATATGTGATTTGAGTTCATTACCTGCGTTCACACATTGAATTCTCACAACAGGCTTATCAGGTAGGTACCACTGTTCCTTCCATTTCATAGATGAGGGACCTGAGGCCCAGAGAGGCTTAGTCACCTGTCCAAGCTCACACAGCCAATCACTGGTGGAAGCAGGATTGAACCCAAGACATTTGGCTTAAGCCCAGGCTCTACTGCCCCTCAACAAACGAATGGGCAAGAAGGGCTGGTTTCCCAGGGAGAGGATGTGGGTGAGGCTGGAAGGGGGGCTGAGACTGGGGTCTCACCTGGAGGGTGCAGTGGGTGAGGGGGTAGATGCCACTCAGCCCTGGGGTCCAAGCCACCTCTAGCTCTGTGGGCCAGCTGGAGACAAGGTGGAGATCACGGGGCCGCTGGGGCAGCACTGTGAGCAAAGGAAGAAAGGGACTGACCCTGGGGCTCTTTCCCCAAAGCCTTCTACCCTGCTGCCAGCCCTGACCTCTAACCTGCGACCTCCCAACCCCCAACTCCCTCTTCTGTCACCTGTGATGGTGGCTGTGCGGGATGTGGTAACTCCTTTGGCATTATGGGCTTCACAGGAGAAGGAAGACGTCTTGTTCAGTCCTAGGGAGTCATATGGGGGGAACCAGTGTCAAGAGAGGGGAAGGCAGGGGCTCCAAGACCACCCGGCCCACCCCTGCCATGCCAGCCTGATTGGGATCAGTCCAATACCCATGGGCTCTTGCTTGAAGGGGGAGTGGGGGAAGGGAAAGAAAGTACAGTAGGAACATAAGCCTCCATCCGCAAAGACAGCTAGGCCCATGGCCTCAGCCTTGACCCCACACCATGCAGACATACAGCCATGCAGGCACACAGCCATACATACATGTAGCCACAGACACACATGCACACACACACGTGGACAGAGACACACCCATACACATATAGATACAGAGACATACATAATCATAAAACACACAGAAACACACAGGACACACACACACACACCCAGCTGTACATATACACATAGAATCAATAGACACTCGCATACACACATACTCATACATATTTCCCCATAGATAGACACACATATGTACACAAAGACACACATACATGCACACTTGGACACACAGAGAGACATACATACGTACATATATACACACAGAGAGAAACACAAACACACACTTACAAAGACGCACTGACCCACCCAGACAGATGTCGAGGCATATACACTTAAGAGACACACACTTGAGGAGGCAGGCTGTCCCGTGCATGCGGACAAGCCTTTGCTGGGTTGTGACCTCAGCTCTCATCAAGCCCTGTCCTCTCACTCTGCTCCAGCCACCCTGGCCTCCGCCTGGAAGCTTCTGGAAGCTAGAGTCAAGCACATTCCCACCTGGGGCCCTTTGCACTCCGTTCCTTGGGCTCAGAGCCCTCTTCCCACAGGTGTCTACAGGGCTCCCTCCCTCAACTCCTCCAGGTTTGTTACTCAAAGGCTACCTTCTTGGTCACCCTGGCCCCAACCCCCCTGTTTCAAAGTGGAACCTTCCCTCCTTATTTTGCTTTTTCTCATCAGCTCTTTAAAACACTCAACACACTTAACACGTTGCCTATGTAACTTGTTCATGTCTGTTTCCTCCACTAAAATGCTGGCTCCAAGAGTCTGGATTTTTTTTCTTTTTTTTTTTCCCCTCCTCTTATGTTCCCTACTGTCTCTCAGGGCCTGGCACACAGTAGGCACTCTATAAGTGTTTTTGAATGAATGAGCACATTTATATGTGCTGTTGTTAGTTGCCATCAGTCGGTTCTGACCCCATGTGTACAGAGTAGAACTGCTGCATAGGGATCTTATGGCTGGGACCTTTGGGAAGCTGATCTCCAGGCCTGTCTTCCGAGGTCCCTCTGGGTGGGTTTGAGCTGCTAGCCTTCTGGTTACTAGTCCAGCGCTTTGTGTTTTTGAGCTCTGGTGGCATAGTGCCTAAGGCATTTGACTGCTAACTAGAAGGTTGGCGGTTCAAACCCACCAGCCACTCTGCGGAAGGAAGACTGGGTATTCTACTTCTATAAAGATTTACCACTTCGGAAACTCAATGGGGGTCACTAGGAGTCGGAATCAACTTGATGGCAGTGAGTGGGTGTGTATGTAGCAATGTGGGCCCATGTAATTCCATGACTTAATATATGTAACTGTTGGTGCGTGTCTGTGGGTAGACTGCCTCCCTGCCCTGTGGTGTTGGTGATGATGAGAACACAGGCAGACATGCACACACATTCACACTCACACACACAAGTACATACAAGCACAGAGAGCAACACGAGACCCGAGTACACAGATACACAACACACACAGCTATGTGACATACACAGACACACACAGACACACACACACACACAATCTGTGTGACAAGATGAAAGGGGACCAAGTTTCAAGACTGTATGTGTAGGGAAGAGAGCTGTCACACTGTGGGGTATTGTGGGCAATGTCATGAAACAAGATGTGTAAGAACTCTATGGAAAATTGAGTTTGCTCTGTAAACTTTCACCCAAATCCCAATAAAAATTTAAAACTAAAGAAATAATTGATTTTAAGAAGACTGCGTATGTAAATGCAATTCTCTCGTGCGTGTTTCTGTACCTGTGTATGCATTTGCGTCTGCCTGTGTTTCTGTGGAGGAGCCTGGTGGCACAGTGGTTAAGCGCTCAACTGCTAACTGGAAGGTCAGCCGTTGGAACCTACCAGCAGCTCCACAGGGCAAAGATGGCGCGCACTGCTTCCATAACGATTGATTTATCTCCTTGGAAACCGTAAAGGGGAGTTCTACTCGGTCCTATAGGGTCACTGAGACAGAATCCACTCCATGGCAATGGGTTGTTTATAGGTATTTCCGTGTGGGTGTGTTTGCGGCCCCGTGTGTACGTCGGGTGTTGTATGTGTGTGTTGTATGTGTGGGTATCTGGGTGTGTCTCTTGTGAGTTGTTCTTGTGCTCCGTGCCTCTCAGCCCGGGTTCCCACCACCACTGAGCGCCCTTTACGCAGACACAAAGTTTCCCTTCTCCGTCAGCCGCGGGTGGAAACTGGAGGGGGGGGACGTCGGCGGCAGCGGCCGGAAGGGGGTGGGCAGGGAAGCGCCTCCGCTCTGGCTGCGCAGGCAGCGCGTTCCCAGCCAAGGTCAGGTGCCCGGCCCGCAGCCCCCGCTGCCCAGGGGAGGGACGGGACAGCCCCAGCGGCCGGACGGAGAGGGGGCAGGGAGCCTGGGTCGCGTCCAGCCACCTGGCACGTGGGGGCCCGTCAGGGTCACCGCGCCAGAGCCGGCCCCGCCCGCCAGAGGAGCCCGAGGGGCGGGAGGGGGTTCTGGAACCCGGTCCAGTTCCGACCGCAACATTCCTGCTGCCGCGTGAGTCACCGGGACGCCCCCTCCCCGGGCACTTCCGGCCGGCCAATGGGGCGCGTGGCCCAGGATCCCCCCTTCCCGGGCCCGCTGGGCACCACGAGAGGGCGGTGCGATGGAAAGAAGGAGCCTGGTCCCACCTCCCTTCGGCACCCAGCATCTAGACGGAGGGGTGAGGAGGGGCAGGAGGCAGGGATCCGCCTCCCCCTCCTCCTTGCGCTCTCCCTCCAAGCCGGGAGCAGGCCAGCTCCAGATGTGTTTTCCAGATGTACTGCCCACCGCCGCCTCGCGGGGGCCCCCCACACTTTTCCAAAGAAATGAGGAGGATGGACGGTGAGGGGGGCCACGCCCGGAATCAGAGAGGAGCAGATGCATGCAAATTGACAAGATTCCTGACACAACACCTCCCCCCTCCAAGCGCACATACAATGAATCACACTTAAACACACAGGATCCGTTATTGGCGCCAATACGCAGAAAATACGGTACTCATGAAACTATCCACAGATAAAAACACAGTAACACAAACACACGTCCAGTGACTTACACGTATACACAGTGTCTGATATACGCATTCACAAAGAGACGCACACATACCTATACACAAATGATGCTGGGATAAACACATAAACATACAGACACACAATCACACGCACGTGGATCACAAACACCTACCTACCCAACCTTCATCTAGTTTGACTGATCCTGACAAACAAATGCACACCTGCATAGTGAAATACATACCCCAAGGAAGAATATATGTAGAGGCTGGAGTGGACAGAGACAGGTACACACCAGCACACACGGAAGGTTCATATTGCCTTGCTTGCACACAAACGTGTTGGCACTCACACACACAGCCAGAACACAGCCAGCCACACTCAGGTTGCTGCAGACACATTTGTGGAGATTGTATCAGCAATTGCTACACACACACGTGCAGACACACAAGCATGCAGAGACACTGCCATGTACACGGAGGTTGGCATGGAGACACATATGCACCCTGGTAGGTGAGCACTGTAGGCTCCTCCAGTGGGAAGCAGCAGAGGCCAGCTCACACACAGGGAGACCGACAGACACACAAGAGGTGGTTGCTGCCCTGGTATGAAGGACACCCACACAGATACAGGGATCATGGTGGCAGCTTCACAGGCCAACATGCTCATCCTGGACACATACACAGACACCACAGGGACACCCATGGACACACACGGATGCATAGCCAGCCAATGAGAAACACCCCAAGTAATAGACATGCACCTGCCGACTGCCTGAGAAACAGGCTACCAGGGCCACACGCAGACATAAAACACACATAGGGGTGCAGGTAAGCCACACATTAGGAGATACACACCACACCACTGAGAAACATAGCATGTAATCCATGGACACCTCCTGACTTGCCACAAGGAAACAGGACACACCTGTGAGCTGATCCTGTTACTTCTGTACAGGCAGGTGTGCAAAACAGCCACCAAGGGAACTGCCACTCCCACTACACACACACACCATCCTCATATCATGAACCACAGCTATGAACATACACACACACCTTTGTGGGACAGACACAGGCTGGCTGACACAGGTATACTCAATGATGTGTGTGCACGCACATATACACATATATATACACACACACAGGCTTACTGATAGCCCCTGGGAAACATACAGAGAAGTCCTATACAGACCCACACACGGAGTGGGACAGGCACACAAGCTGACAGAGACACATTTAGTAAGACACACACACGTTAAGACTTCCATGGAGCTGACCCTCTTTAAGGCACACGCTCATACAAAGAGGATGGTGGATGCAGACACACAGGGACATGGACACCCAGCCAGATGCCCCCCCCACACACTGACCCTCACACCTTCACTCTCCATTTCTACTTCCTGGGATGGAAGCTTCCCTCCCCCTGCCCCCTCTGAGGGGGTTTCTGCCAGGCTGACTCAGGCCTCATTCCCGTCCCCACCCGGTCACTCAAGCCATGGGCCTGAGTCACCCTCTGGGGGCTGACATGCTCACCGCTTCCTTGCACACTCAGGGTCCCCGGAATGCTGGGAATGTGGGCACTTCTCTCCACCCAGCCCCAGACCCCTCCCATTCTGGGCCACAGGTGGGATGCAGGAAACTGATACCCCTCCGGGCCCAGCTGCTCCCCTCTGAATGAGCTCCCCATCTCTCTTTCCTTGGTCAGGAGGAACCCCTGTGTCCAGAGTCCCCCAGCTCGGACTCTGACCACGGTGGGACCCCAGGCTTGGTCCTGCCCCCTCCGTGTGGTGTGGAAGGAATGGCCGCTCTTCTCCCACCTCTCAGGCTTCCCTGTCCTCACTGCCCTCTCTGTCCCTCCCTCTGTCTCTTTCCCCCTTTATGACTCTGTTTCCTGTTTCTTGCCTTCTTTCTGCTTTGGACTCTGTTTCCCTAGTGAGGCCTGGGCTGGATGTCCTTCCCTTGACTGAGGCCAGAAGGACCCTTTAGGGCCAGAGGTAGGCAGGTGGGGGCTGGAGAAGAGGAGGACACAGTTGATTCCGGTGCCCAGCTGGGGGTCAGGGGCTGACAAAGGGCCACCAGGCCCACACATACTTGGGCCATGGAACAGCTCAGAGGAAACCCAGAACAAAGAATTCTATTCAGAGTGGGGCCGGGGGGATGGAGAGAGAAAGAGACAGAGACAGGAAAAGATGGAAAGAGAGAGAGAGAGAGAGAGAGAGAGAAGGACACAGAGAGACAGTGAGACAGAGATGGAGAGATAGGGAAAGAGATGGAGAACAGAGACAGAAAGGCATACAGACAGAAACACGGAGATACACAGAGACAAAGACACTGAGCAGAGACAGAGATAAAAACAGAGGAACTGGTAGATGGTCAACACCAACGCAATGAAGGCTCTCAGCTCCTCACTCCCCTGTGCCCTGTCCTCAGGCAGAGCTGACCCTTTCTCACCTTGAACTTGCAGAGTGTGCTGGGGGCCGTGGCCTGTGGCCAGAGCCATGGGGGCAGCATCCTGGAGCCAGAGTAGGTTCACCGGCTCTGGGGGCCCCTGGGCCCGACAGCTCAGGTTGAAGGGGATGTTGGCAGCCACAGTCCTGTCTTCAGGCTCCTCCAAGAAGTAGGGCAGGCCTGGGGGTAGTGGCAGAGGCTGGAGGCTTCAGATCACCTCTGGCCCACCCTGTGTTTCACCCTCAGGGGCTTCGACCCCCCCATATCTCCCCAGGACACCTGCACGTTCCAACCTCTCAAGGCCTCTGCCCCTGAGGACACCTGGTCCTAATATCTGACCCCCAGGCACTTGACTGCTAACCAGAAGGCTGGTGGTTCAAACCCACCAGCCACTCCTTGGAAGGAAGATGGGGCAACCTACTTCCGTAGTGATACTGCCTCGGAAACCCAAGGAAGGGTTGCTATGAGTTGGTCCAACTCGACGGCACATAACAACAACAATGTGTGTGCGTGTGTGCCTCTGATCCCTTTATCTGATCTTTAGGTATGACTCCCAAGACATCTGACCACCCTAGGCTGTCCTCTCCTCCACACCACATAACACTCCCAGGCCTGCCCCCATCATTTATGGAATCCCAGCATCTTGACCCCCCAAAGATCTCTGACATCCCCAGGCTGTAGGTACCCCCAGAACACTCTGGATCCTCCGGCCCTCTCTCTGACCCCTCGGGATTCTTGATCTCTCCCAACCTATGAGCTCCCCATGTCCTCAGACCCCTCAGGGCCTCGGATTCCCAGGGCTCACCCTCCAGCCCCACATAGCCAGGATGAGAAAGGACGGTCTCTCCTTTCAGGACCACCGCACACTGGTACTGCCCCGCGTCCGAGAGCTGCAGGGATGAGATTCTGACAGAACACAGAGGTTTGGAGTCAGAGCCAGACACTGGTAGGGGGTGGTCAGAACTGAGACAGGGGTCTGGGCTAGAAAACCATCAGCCCACGAAGTGGGTACTATCATATCCCATTTTACAGAAGAGAAACCCAGAGGGTGACATCACGGGCTGAAAGCCGTGCAGCCAGAAGTGGTAAGGCTGGGATTCCCACCCAGGTAGTCTGGTTCATATCACCATGTGATGGAGGTGGGGGTCTGGGGAAGGCCGGGCGTCAGGAGGGACGTGGGGAGAGGTTGACCACCTGAGCTGGCTGACCACCTTCCAGTCGTCCTGTCCGTCTTCTCCCAGGGGTACCTGGATCTGGGTGCTGTCCACCAGCTCCAGGACCTGCCCGTCCCGGAGCCAGGTCACCTCAGGAGGCTCCCCTTGCACCTGGAGCTCACACCGCAGGGTCCCCGTGAGTCCCCGGGCACCAGTGATATTCCCTGGGCTCCCCACAAAGGGGTCCACCTCAGCCTGTGCTCCTGCAAAGGGGGTAAAGGGAAGGGTTGGCTTAGGGGCCCCCACTTCCCTCTGGCCACTCCATTTCTCGCCCCCACTTCCCGCCTGCCCAACGGCTGCCAGGCCCTCAGACCCACATAGTTCTAGAGTGACCTCAGAAGGGGTGGAGGGTGGAGGCTTTGAGGGAGGATGGGGGCCTCCCCAGGGGACTGGGGTCCATTATCTGTCCGTTGGGAAGGCCAGCCCGGGATCTGGCAGCCTCCCACGCCCTGGACTGCCCGGCAGGGCCAACCCCTGTCCCCACTGCCCTGCCTTAGGGTCTCTGGAGACTTAAAAGGTTTGGGCTGGGTGGATGAGGGGGAAGCCAGGCTGGGGAGGAATAAGGGAGAGAGACGAAGGGGAAGCCAGAGAAAGGCAGGCAAGAGGAGACAGAGAGGCCCAGAGACACAGAGGGAGACAGAAAGAGAGACAGAGAGAGAAACTCCCCCAGAGGGAGACTGGAGAGAGACAGACAGAGAGAGAGAGAGCTCCCACCTCCAGAGATGGAAATCTAAAGACAGACAAAAACAAAGTAAAGACAGACTGCAGCGGGGCAGGGACACAAATGGGGGTGGAGGGGTGGTAATGGTGACCAAGGGTTTACTCTAGGGCCCCCAAATCCTCATTCCTTCATTCCTCTCCCGGCTGAGTGCTCTTTTCTTTAGGGAAGATTCTGCCTGTCCCCAGCTCAGCCCCTCTCCCCAGCCAACCACCTCTCCCGGGCTCTGTCCCCACTTCTCATCTTGTCTGTCTGTCTGTCTCTGCGTGTCCATCCCTTCCCCTCTCCGGCCCTCTCAGTTTCTATTTCTTGTCCTCTGTTCCTCTCTCCCAGTCCGTTTCTCTCCCCGTTGCCTCTTGGGTTGGCGTCTGACTCTCTGGATCTCCCCGTCTCCCTCTGTTATCTCAAGGAAACTCCCTGAGCTGCCTCAGGACTACCCCCCACCCACCCCAACACCTGCCACCCGCCTCCCTGTGGTCCCCCTGGCCCCGCGCCCCCCACCCCGTGGGTGGCCTTGACCCAGCAAGCCCCTGTCACTTACCCTTGGGGGCCACGCAGCCCCAGCAGCACAGCACCAAGCTGCAGGCCAGCGGGACCCTGGCCATCCTCGGGAGACACCGCACAGGCAGCGATGCCAAACTTTCTTCACAAGTTCCCAGGCGCCTTGCGGGGGAGGGAGGGGGCAGGGCTGGGCTGTCCCCAGCCCTCCCCCCAGCTCTGGGCTCCCCGGATTTGGCACTGCCCGCCTGGCAAGGCGGAGGGGGCCCCTGGCCGGTTCTGCTCCGCAGCGGCGCCTCGCCTGCTTCCCGGCCTCCTCCTCTCCCTCCCAGACTTCAGGCAGCCCTTTCCCCGCCCCTGTCCCCCACTGCCTCCGCCCACCAGCCCCGGAGCCCAAGGGGCCACCTGGGCAGTGAGGGGTTAACGCAGAGAGGAGTGGACCTACTCGGCCTTAAAGGAGCCTTGGAGGTAGACTGGGGAACGGGAAGGGGAAGGGGGCCCTGGTGGCTGCGCCCCTAATTCTGGGCCAGGAGGCGGGAGTCTTTGTCAGGGCTCTGGGCGCTGTCCCTCTGGGCTCTCTCTGTGTCTGGTAAACATCCCTCCAGAACTCCACTCCCCTTACAGCCCAGGACCCCCCTCCCGCGCTTCCACCCCTTGCCTGGCCACCACCAGGCCTCCCTCGGCCCTTCACTCCCCCTCACACTCACAGCTCCTGGGATAGACACACACACACACACACACACATGCAGACACGTACTCAGACGTTGACACTCAGGGGTTGGGACAGGCAGAGACAAGCAGTGGCATGCTGCTGGCCCACAGACACACTCAGACAAGCCGGGTCAGGAATTTTCTCTGAAGAAGCCTCAAACAGGAGGGCCTGCCTGTGTGGGCACCCACGGGGATGGGGGACACATGGAGCCTCAGACACACAAAACACCCCCCACAGACACAGAGAGGGACAAGCAGTGTGTGGGCATCCACAGGGAAGTAGGGAGACACAAAGCCGCAGACACACAAAACACCCCCCACAGACACAGAGAGGGACAAGCAGTGTGTGGGCATCCACAGGGAAGTAGGGAGACACAAAGCCGCAGACACACAAAACACCCCCCTCCACACACACACATAGGGGACAGCAGTGTGTGGGTGCCCACGGGGACGCAGGGAGACACAGAGCCTCAGACATACAAAACACCCACCCCCCCCAGACACAGAGAGGGGATAGCAGGGTGTGGAGATAGCAGTGTGTGGGCACCCATGGGGGCACGGGGAGACACAAAGCCTCAGACATACACACACATACACACACACAGTCAGACACACAAGGAAACAGATATACTCCCAGGCAGACGAACACAGAAACTCAGGAGTTACAAACAGACGCGGGAACGTGCAGGCACACATGTATGCAGAGGGCATGGAAATCCAGGCACAGATAGGCCCATACACATGGAAACAGAGTCGTGGATGCACAGGGGTGTTGTTGTTAGGTGCCGTCGAGTCATCTCTGACTCACAGCGACCCTATGCACCGCAGAACAACACACAGCCTGGTCCTGCGCCAGCTCCACGATCCATCCTTGCTATACTTGAGCCCATCGTCGTAGGCACTGTGTCAGTCCATCTCATTGAGGGCCTTCCCCTCTTTTATCAACCCTCCACCTTACCAAGCATGACATCCTTCTCCAGGGAATGGTCCCTTCTGACAACATGACCTAAGTAGGTGAGACGAAGTCTGGCCATCCTCGCTTCCAAGGAGCATCCTGGCTGGCTGCACTTCCTCCAGGACAGATTCGTTAGTTCTTTTAGCAGCCCATGGTACTTTCAGCATTCTTCACCAGCACCACAACTCAAAAGCATCAATTCTTCTTTGGTTTTATTCATTGTCCAGCTCTCACATGCATATGAGGTGATTTGAAAATACCATGGCTTGTGTCAGGCACACCTTAGTCCTCAAGGAGATATCCTTGCTCCTCAGCACTTGAAGAGGTCCTTTGTAGCCGACTTGCTATACGTCTGAGGTCCTCACTGCTGCTTCTATTGGTGTCAATTGTAGAACCAAGCAATGTGAAGTCTTTGACAACTTCAGTCTTTTCTCCATTTATTGTGATGCTTCTTATAGGTCCAGTTATGAGGATTTTTGTTTTCTTTATATTGAGATGCAAACATACTGCAGACTGTATTCTTCAATCTTCATCAGTAAGTGCTTCAAGTCATCCTCACTTTCAGCAAGCAAAGTTGTGTCATCAGTGTATTGCAGGTTGTTAATGAGCCTTCCTCTAATTCTGATGCCATGTTCTTCTTCGTTATAGTCCAGGTCCCTGATTATTTGCTCAGCGATTAGATTGAATAAGTGCGGTGAAAGGATCAAACCCTGACACACTACCTTCTTGATTTAAAACATGCAGTATGTCCCCTTGTTTTGTTTGAATGACAGCCTCCTGGTCTATGTACAGGTTCCTCATGAATGCAATTAAGTGTTCTGGAATTCCCATTCTTCTCAATGTTACCCACAATTTGTTAAGGTCCACACAATCAAATGCTTTTGCATAGTCAATAAAACACAAGTAAACATCTTTCTGGTATTCTTTGCTTTCAGCCAAGATCCATGTGACATCAGCGATGATATCCCTTTTTCCACATCTTCTTCCGAATCCAGGCTGCACCTCTGGAAGTTCCCTGTCAATATACTGTTACAACCATTTTTGAATTATCTTCGGTAAGATTTTACTTGCATGTGATATTAATGATATTGTTTGGTAATTTCCACATTCTGTGGGATCATCTTTCTTTGGAATGGGTACAAATACGGATCACTTTTTTTTTTTTCCCTCCCCTCCCCTCCTACCCCTGGTAACTGACAAAGAAAATGTCCTTCCATAGATAAACGTTTCTTTGACTTTTACAATAATGGACTAATACAATATTTGTCCTTTTGTGATTGACTTATTTCACTCAGCATAATATCTCCAAGTTCATCCATGTTATGCGGTGTTTTGCAGATTCTACATTATTCTTTAGGGTTGCATAGTATTCCATTGTGTGCAAATACAGATCTCTTGTAGCCAGTTGGCCAGGTAGCTGTCTTCCAAATCTCGGCATAACCGAGTGAGTGCCTCCAGCAGGGCATCCGTTTGTTGAAACATCTCAATGGGTATTCTGTCAATTCCTGGAGCCTTGTTTTTCATCAATTCCTTCCATGCAGCTTTGACTTCTTCCTTCAGTACCATTGATTCTTGATCATATGCCACCTCCTGAAATGGTTGAACAATGACCAATTTTTGGTACAGTGACTCTGTGTATTCCTTCTATTTTTCTTTTGATGCTTCCTGCATCATACAATATTTTGTCCATAGAATCTTTCAATATTGCAACTCAAGGCTTAAATTTTTTCCTCACTTCTTTCAGCTTGAGAAATGCTTCCCTTTTGGTTTTCTAACTCCAAGTTTTGCACATTTCATTATAGTAATTGGCTTTGTCTGCTTGAGCTGCTCTTTGAAATCTGTTCAGCTCTTTTATCTTGTCATCCCTTCCATTTGCTTTAGCTACTTTCCAGTCAAGGACAAGTTTCAGAGTCTCTTCTGACATCCATTTTGGTCTTTTCTTGTCTTTTTAATGACCTCTTGCTTTCTTCATGGATGATGTTCTTGATGATATCCCACAATATTTCTAGTTTTCACTCACTGGTGTTCAATGCATCAAATCTATTCTTTAGATGGTCTCTAAATTCAGGATGGACATAATCAAGATCATATTTTGGCTCTCGTGGACTTGTTTTAACTGTTTTCAACTTCAAGTTGAACTTGCATATGAGCAGTTGATGGTCTGTTCCACAATCAGCTCCTGGCCTTGCTTTGGCTGAAGATATTAAGCTTTTCCATTGCCTCTTGCCACAGATGTAGTCCATCTGAATCCTGTGTACTCTGTCTGGCGAAATCCATGTGCGTAGCCATCGACTGTGTTGTTAAAAAAAGTATTTGTAGTGAATAAGTTGTTGGTCTTGCAAAATTCTACCATGCAAATTGCAGCATTATTTCTGTCACCAAGGCCAAAGTTTCCAACTACCAGTGATTCTTCTTTGTTTCCAATTTTTGCATTCCAGTCGCCAGTGAAAATTAAAACATCTTGATTGCACATTTGGTCAATTTCAGACTGCAGAAGTTGATAAAAATCTTCAATTTCCTGACCTTTGGCTTTGGTTGTTGGTGCATAAATTTGAATAATAGTCATATTAACTGGTCTTCCTTGTAGGTGTATGGATATTATCCTATCACTGACAGCATTGTACTTCAGGACAGAACTTGAAACATCCTTTGTGATGATGAATGCTATGCCATTCCTCTTCAAATTGTCATTCCTAGCATAGTAGCTCATATGGTTGTCTGATTCAAAAGGCCAAAACCGGTCCATTTCAGCTCACTAATGCCTAGGACAACAATCTTTATGTGTTCTATTTCATTTTTGACAACTTCCAATTTTCCTAGAATCATACTTTGTACAGTCCATGTTCCTATTATTAATGGATATTTGCAGCTGTTTCTCCTCAATTTGAGTCATGCCACGTCAGCAAATGGAGGTCTCAAAAGCTTTACTTTATCCATATCAGTAAGGTTGGTCCTACTCTGATGAGGCAGCTCTTTCCTAGTCATATTTTGAAAGGCTTCTGACCAAAGGGGCACATCCTTCTGCTCTGATCAGATAACGTTTCTGGGCTATTCATAAAGTTGTGTGGTAATGTATCAGACAGTGTTTCTCTACTATTCATAAGATTTTCCTTGGCCGATTCTTTGAGAAGTGAATGGCCTCTTCCTTCTTCCTAGTCTGTCTCAGTCTGTGAGCTGCATTGAAACCTGTGCGCCACGTGCAACCATGCTTGCGCTTGAAACACCGGTGGCACAGCCTCAAACCTCACAGCAACACACAAGTCACAATAGTACGACAAACTGACAGACAAGTTTGTCTCACTTAGCTGTTCGAAATCTCTACACACTCCCATTACCTGGATCCCTAGTGCTGCTCTGCTCTGTTGTCCCCTCTGGCTTCTCTTTTCCCTTGGTTTCCTGGCTGGTGAGGGTGGGGCCTGGGTCCCTCCTCTCACCTGGATCCCTGGCTGCTGCTCTGCTCTGTCATCCCCTCTGGCTTCACTTTTCTCCTGCTTTCTTGGCTGGTGCTCTGGTAGCATTGTGCCTAAGGCATTTGATTGCTGACCAGAAGTCTAGAGGTTCAAATCCACCCCACTCCTTGGAAGGAAGATTGGGCAATCTACTTCCATAGTGATACCACCTT